ATGGATTGTCTGACGAACTGAAAGAAATTTGTAAGAAAATCTGCCCATTTCGCGTTTTACGACCATGGAGCAGTCGACATCCGTACTGTACGAAATTTCTGTCCAGAGAAGCAAAAAGTCGGGGGCCCGGAACGGAATTTTTGATTTCGTCTGTACGAAATTTGTCCAGAGAACCCATCGTAGCCAGCGAAATTTGGATCGGTCCAGGACGATCGAAGGTTAATAAATATCGGATTTAAATTTTTTGGATTCATTTGGAGAGAGAGAAAAGGCCAAGAGAGAAAAGAGAAGGAAGAGAGAAGGAAGCTGGTTTTGGAGTCCGAGCGCTTTTCAGTCCGCGACGCTGTTAAGAAGATTTGTTTTGTTCTCGCCTGTAAAGGACTCCGAACCCTATTCTGTTTTCGAGACTTTTGTATTTTGATCGAGTGTGCAACTGTTTTGTGTTTTTGTGTCGAACTTTTGACCTGATTTTGTATTGACACAACTTTCACCGCACAACTATTTATATGTTATAGATATGACTTATTTGTACACATTTGAGTATTTTCCTCGATGATTATTACCGTCGGAATGATTCTAACGCGATTTTAATTGGAATAGAAAAATATCAGGACGTGATTTGATTTTGATTCTATAGAATAATAATCTTATATTGATGTTCGTGAATGCTCTACTGTCAATTTGGAAGAATTTGGAACTGTGCCTTTTTGCAGGATTTTGTGTAAATTGAACCGACTGTCGTTACTCTGCCCGATTTTCGTACGATTTCTGATTTTTCCCGAAAATTGATAGATTAGATTGATATGCTTATGATTATTGTATATAATGCTATAGATTGCTTTAATATTGATTATTAAACTGATTATTGATTGATTATTGATACTGGAACACACGTATAACCTGGTTGAACATTGGTTGGAGGATTGATATTGACCTGTACAGGATGGTGGGCCGACGGGCTTTCCTTTAAACCATTGATCAGTTGATATAACGATGGGAGTCATAAGGATTTATAAATAATCGAACGGACGGAAAAGAGTGACGACTCTTATGATAGAACCAATGTATGGATTACTACAACAGCAATATGATTCTACAACAACAACATAGCCAGTTGATTGTACTTGTCCAGTATATAGTATTGAATTGCATGTTTACTGTATTGATTTATGGATTCATTGTTTTATAGATTCCTGCTTTATCGACTTTGATTGGATACTAGATCGTACGATTTCATTGATTTCACTGATTGATTGACTGTGCATCGACACTGCGCATTTATATGGACAATTGATAGATATAGATACTGTAATTGATCAATGAACATGGACATCGTACTACTGCCTACTGTTCTGTACCGTATTGACTGTCGTATAGATTCATTGTTCCGTATTGCTTTTCTCGGACTGATTTCATTGATTTGACCAGTTATGATTTGATTGAAGGATAGTGATTGATTGAATGATGAAATGATTGATTTGCCTGCCGCTGCATTGACTGGTTTTATTGACTATTGATTTTCGGATTGCATCAACTACATGATTGATTCCATGAATGACTCATTGACCTTGATGATTCAGATTGATAGATTGACATGCATTTATGATAGCACCGCCGTGCTTTGATTTTCAGTTATAGGTATTAGGTGACCTGCTGGGCTTTGAAGCTATTATATGTGGTTAGTATTTTCAGGTCAGGCTCGGGAGCAGAGATAGGAATTGATCCTGATCTTCAGGTTTTTTTGTCTTTTGATCGATAGATGATTCTTTTGTACTCAGGACATGATAGATTCTCTTACTTGTATTGATAGTTTAGTTCCTGAGTATTGTATATGATGTTTTGAGATATGATCGACTTGAATATTGATGTTTTAGATTTTATAGATGTTTTGGAAGATTGCTTACTGAAGGTTTATAGATAACTCTGGTAAAATTGTTTGTGAAATTGATTGACATTCTTTCCAAGTTAGATCTTGGGATCACAGAAAAAACAGTGATTGAATCAGACTCCCAGCATGACTTAAATCCTGCGCTAAGAAAATTAGAACCTTTAAAGCGTCGACACCATTAGGCCACCCCGATCCCAGTCTCCTCACTATACTCTTTGGATAAGGTATGCCTGGATGATAGTAATGTGATCTTTGAAAGAAGCCAATCTGACGTCGAACACATTGAAATTAAATTCGGAAGATCCTGACTTAGTTGTAACCCATACATGAGTTGACTTTAAAATCTGTGATAAATGATCTCGAGTCGGAATTGGTTAAATTGAATTTTACTACCTGATTTAAGCCCCAATTTAACTAACCCCGAGTCTATCAATCTTAAGGTTATACCCAAATCTGATTCTATTGATGATAGAAATGAGTTCGGAAGACAATGATTTGATTCTGAAGGTTTTGAGCCTAACTTGAATAATGGGTCTCATCTTATTTTAATTGGAGTCTATTTTAGGATCACTCACCAAGATTTACATTTTTAAGAGTGTGACTTTCGTGATTGGGCTTATCCCACCACTCCTCGTACCGACTTAATGTGAGAGAAAGTCTTAGCCCATACTTTCATGTCACAACTTAACTGTCGTGCCACCTTCTGGTATGGATACCATACTCAATTTCTTAAGTCCCATACCTGTTGGTGATTCGTTTGGCTATCCTTTATGACTGTGAGTCAGGAGCCATCACCTTATCTTGTTCCTGATTCATGTTGTGTTACCCGATAGAGATCTTGTCCTTCCCTTTAAGACCATCTCTCTCCTAGTTGGATGAATTTGATAGATTACACCATATTGTTAAAATTGCGTATTCGGATATTGAGGCGTTTTTCATTCGTGCAGGCGAGGCGTAAGCCTCAAGGCGTTTTGAGGCGTAAGCCTCAAAATACAAAAGATTCCGTAACATAATGATAAATTTTTATATGCTAATGAGTGAATAATATAAAACATAAAAAAAACATAAGATATTGAAGTGAAAATCAAAATATCCCAATAATAAGACAACATGAAATATAGTTCAACTCAAATTTTCTACTTTCCAAAATCCCAGTATTCTTTTCATTAACATTATAATTCTAATTTCTAAAAAAGTTAAATAGCAATGACATATCACATAAGAACTCATAAGTCATCAACGCTGTCATCACTAAGGGGTTCTTCATTTGAATCATCATTATGATGAACTGCTATCTCCCATTCCTCCTCTCATATAGAATCCAATGTCGGGCATTTACTTCAAGATTCATGTAAGTTTTAATATATATAGTGTGAGGCGTAAGCCTCATGCCAGTGAGGCGAGGCGGGCCTTTAGCCAGGCCTCAACCAAGTTGAGGCGCAAGCCTCATAAAAAAAACTCGAGGCGTAAGCATCGAGGCGTTTTTACTGGAATTGCGTAAAGGCGAGCCTCATATTGCGCAATTTTAAACCATGGATTACACTGCTACCCCTAGGAGACTAACCTCGACCCTAGCTGAGACTTTATATAGAAGTGCCTTAGTAGCTGAGGATGTCTTTATTGCTCCCCCTAAACCAATTCCTTTAAATTTGAAAACTTTAAGTCCCCTCATTTTAGGTTTAAACCATTGTTATGCATATCTATGTGTGCGTGTGAGTCTGTGTGTTTGCATGTTCGTTTCCTGTCAAGCTTGTCTCTGTTTAAAGCTTTGGTGTAAGCCCAAAGTCTTATCATTCATCTTGCACATCGGGTTTGTCGCATCAGCATTTGCATTGATTTATAAGTGTTTGAACAAGTGTGATTTTGATGAGTTCGAAAGAACTTGGATTGAAATAATCACAGAAGGGGGCTTCTAGAGCCATAATTGGTTGAAGCAGCTTTATAAGATAAGTAATAAGTGGTCAACAACATTTAAGAATAATTTATTTAATATGAATATTTTATCAACATAGCGTAGCAAGTCTACTAATAATGTGTGCCATGACATTTCGAAGCCAATAAATTTTATAACTGATTTTTTTCTGAGGTTAGAGAAGGTAATGATGACTTGGCGTCAGAATGAGCAGGATGAAGATTTCAGATGTAGCCAATTTGAAATAATACCTTTGATAAAAAGCAACCCATTTTTAAAGCAAGCTGTTCGATTTTATTCAAGAAAATTGTATTCACTTTTTGAAGATGAATTTTTGGAAGGTGTTGGTGGAATGTGTATAGATTATGCCTCAAGTGATTCATCAAAGTTTTTCATCAAAAATATAGAGAATAAGGACCAAAAAAGAAAATCTAAGAGTATGAAACATGTCATAGAGGGAACTACATCAGGACAATGTTCACCATCAAGCCATATCAAGATCTCAAATATACAAGAAAGTTCACGGAGGAATTTGTTCTTCGGGCAACAACCAGCCAGCCGATACCTGAATATATGAGGATGATGATGAATATCATTGACTCAAATCAAAATGGTTGATGTGTAATTTTTTAATTATAATAATTGATGTTCAACACATCCAGCAAAATATCTGATGTAAAATTTCATTATGTATTGTAATAAATCATTGTAAAATTTAATTGCGTAATTGGGAAATTATGTGGGAGATATTCTGTATTGTTGTATATTTCTTCGCAAACTGCTAAGTATTTCTCTTATGAATGTTAAATATTGTTGTATATTTCTTTGAGTATTGATGTGTATTGTTGTGTACTGAATTGTGTATTGCTCTTATGACTACTGTGTATTGTCGTGTATTACTGTGTATTATTGTATATTACTTTGTATTGTGCTTCTGACTGTTGTGTACTACTGTGTATTATTGTGTATTAATATGTATTACTCTTATGACTACGGTGTATTATTCTGTATTATTGTGTATTTCTCTGATTATTATTGTTTATTGTATTTAAGGTGGTTGTTGTGACATTTTAGATATTTAAGAGGGTTGTTGTAACATTTCAGCTATCTATGAGGGTTATTGTAGCTACATCTCTTGTTTCCTTTAGCAGTTATTTTTTTTAAGTAGCGGTAAGTCTTACTTGATCATATGTTTTATAGATTGTATTGGTTGGATAATGAGAAGTTTCAAGGTATATCAACGAAGGGCTTCGTGGACATCGTTGGCAGTTGAATGCATGAGTGTATGTCAAGGTGTTTTGATAGTCCGCTTGAGCAACTAGTTAGGATATTCAGATGTTGCGTGCATGTATGGCATGAACACAAGGATTGTGTACTTTGGTATTTACATGAAGAGGCGATGGAGGGGAGGGCAACAGAACTGAAATTTTCTTAAATGCTAGAGGCTGGAAATATGTGGAAAATAAGGTTTTTTGAGAAAGATCGCCACTTTATTAGTGTTCATTTTCTTCAAACGCGTTTTCATGAGCTACGCTTTAACAGGGAAGGTGGAGATTCAAATGTAGTTGAAAGATCAACTTGTGACGTAGATAATATCATTCTTATTGACCTTGGGATCTAGCTGAGGAAGTTTTTATTTCAGACTTGTATAAGAAAAGAATGAAGAAGTTTCTGACTGGAAGTAAGCAAATGAAGTTTTTAAACCTGGCTGACTAGCAAGATCTGCAGTATGAGTTTCACTTTCATTTTGCTTTTTTCCCTACTTAAAGTCAACTACATGAGCGTATGCGGCAACTTTTGCAACACTTGTAATAATGTAATCACCTTTATGTTATTTGTTAGGTTTAGTGTTTTCTTTATGTTTTTTTTTGTTATAATTTGAAAGATTTTTTTAGTTTGTTGCATTCAAGCAGTAGTTCCCACAGACAGATGAGACAATTAGACTCTAGAAATTAATTTTTATGTTGACAATAAATAAACAATCTATTCAATAAACAATATCGATACAAACATATTTTTTGGTGGTTCAAAAAATGGTGTATACTAGTTCGACCCAGCATGTAGACATTTTTTCTTGACAATCTTTATGTTGACCCAAGTCGGCACTCTGATATTGGATAATAGCATCCATGTATTTGCATATGAACATACCACAATCAATGTTGTTTATTTGGGTTGGCACGTTAGTCATAGTTTGAATAAGTTTTTTGTCGTATATCAGAATCAAAAGAGCCATCTGTCTTTTGATAAATATAAATTATCTAAACAAAATAATAAGCACGTATTAATTTTAATCTATACAAGGAAAATTTTAACAGGAGATTATGGTTGAAATGATCTTAAACTCACAATTTCAGGAAGAATGACCTTATGAGTGGGGTTTGGCATGGAATCCAAGAATTGTCAAATTTATTCCTTCAGCATTTCTACCAAAACGGTCCAATGTTGATTGTTGATCACTGGTAATAGTAGCAGATTGGAATCCTTTAGTGAATCTTGATTGATGTGCTTGACATAGATTTTGGTATTTATTTCATATTTTGAGTATGACTAGCGGATATCAAACAAAAATGTTTAATTACTTCACCAAAAAACTTATATTGAAATATACATAATGTATAACATGTGAAAGCATACCAAATGCAATCATGAAATATATAGGAATTGTTGGTAGAGGCCGGGCCAAAGCTTATTTTTCTCAAGTAGCAGTATGACAAAAGCATCTACATGGTTGTCATCGAGGTAGTTTTTCATTATTAATTTGTTAATTTGACTTCTAAAAATCATGAATGATATATCATCAAAAAATTATCTTGATCGGGCACAAATCTCGAGGCAAAATCAAGTTGGGAACTTCAAAAATTAAATTGGTAACCATCTGAAGTCTGATGCAAACCTACAGTCGAATTGAACCTCTCGAAAAATGACGCCAAATTCAACTCAATCCAAGCCCAAATGGGCCCAAATCAAATACCCGAAGCGCATTTGGAAGGTTCAATCCATAATTTGGATTACCAAACAGTTTCCAAATGTCATGTGCTTATAGTCGAATCGAGTGGCTCGACAAGACAAGTCCAACGAGCCCAATATCGCCAAATTTTGATATCATTAAGACATTCAAATGTCCAGTAAACGATCCACGATCAAGGGATTCAACATCGGCCATCCATTCAAATCACTCCTAATTTACCCTTGATATTTCTCTTATTTATTAGTCATGCCACTCTCAGAAAACTATAAATAGATCCTTTATTTCTCATGGAAGGGGGAGGAGGAAGGGAGCCCAAGCAAGAAGAGGAGACCCAAAATGGAAGAGAAGGAAGAGAGCTCTCTTGACACCATACTCCTCCTCGACCACCACTGGACTTCAACTCGGCCACCGAATGTCGCCAGTCTTTCGGCCGGCTACCGATGGACGCCAGATTTCTGCCTAGCCACCGACACTGGATTTCTGCTTGATTACCAACTGACGCCAGACTTCTGCCCATCATAAGACTTTAGTTGGATTTTTACCCAACGTCAAACTTCTACCTGTCGTCAAACTTCCTCTCGTCGTTGGACTTCTGCCCATCGCCAAACTTTACTCGGACTTCTACCCGACACCAAACTTCCGCGCATCGCTGGATTTATGCCCGACGTCGGACTTCCTCCTGTCAACGGTCCTTTCAACCTCCGTTGTCTTACTACAATCTTTTCGACATCCGTCGCTGCCGACTACGGTCCTTCCGACCTCTGTCGCTAGACAATGATCTTTCCGACCTACGTCGCCCACCGACTATGATCATTCTGACCAAACGAGCATGTCAACAGTGATTCTTTGTATTCCCATTATCTAATGTACTCCATATGATGTACATCAAGCCAAGGTCTTCCCCCCAAGGAAGGGCCTCATTTGTAATCGACTGCAAATAATAGTGGATTCATTCAAACTGGGCCAGACCCTGTGGTTTTTTCCCCTTTTTTAGGGGTTTTCCACGTAAAAAATTCTTGTGTCTCTTAAGAATGCTGCACCCTCTCTTTTAAATGTATGTGTGCTGGATCTTCGTACAAAGCTAAGACATTAAACTTTATATTCCTCTACCACCACGAATATTTCAAGATGTAACAATGACGTTCCTAGGAATTAATATATTGTCAGACCTGTAAAAATATCAAGATAACATAACAATATACAGCTCAATATACAACAATACACAGCTCAGTACACAGTAATACACAACTCAGTATACAACAAGACAACAATATATAACAATACGCAACTCGATACACAGCAATACACAACAATATACAACTCAGTACACAACAATACATAATTAAATACATAACAATATACATTTTAATACACAGCTGTACAAAGCAATACACAACTCAGTTAATAGCAATACACAAAAATATTGAGTTAAATGCATAACAATATACAACAATACATAGCATTGATCAAATCAATACACAACAATATACGCCAGCACACAATGACTAATTATAGAGAAACACACAAACACATAATTGAAACTTACTTGTCAGCATACTATTCATGAACATCCTCATTTCTTCAGTTATCAGCTCCCTATCGACAAATTCCATCTATTTTTTTGCTGGCTTAGCAATTGTAGATACTCCCTCATCCACATTAATGACTGTAGTAGGTGCAAGTACTTTTGTGTAGATACTCCCTCATCCACAGCAATGACTACAACAGTGCATGTATTTTTTGTGCAAGTTACTTCTTGGTTATTTGATTGCCTCTTTTCCTTTTCTGACCCTTATGAGCAGCTGTCATAATTGTCTTGATTTCATTCTTAGAAGATGCAGCAACTTTTTGCGTTGGTTGATTCATTGCTCTTTGATTACCTCTTCTCTACATCTGACCAAGTGCAAAAGGTGTCTTGATGATAATCTTAACTCGGTCCTCCGTACCCTTCACACGATGTGTTATTCCCATGCTAGGGGTTGAAGCAAAAAAAAATCGTCGTCATCCTCATCTTTCTCTTTGACTCGAGCACGCGCAATTATAGTTTTTTTGGGTGACTTGATCAACTATGCTAGTGGTAGATGATCCTCACCGATGATAACAAGAGGAGGATTTGCAACATAAGGGAAATCGATATAAATTATGATAGTAGTGGTTTTATCAATTATGTCGGCAGAAGGGGCATCAGGAGGTTCTCCAACCGAAGGGGTTTGAATTTGGACATTAAGGCATGATGGAGTTAATGATGAGGATTATGTTGGATGTTACATTTTGTCAGCTTTATATGGAGGTGGCTATGATTACAAAATTGCCAAATAGACCTTTTCAACTTGAATTCAGCTCTATTTGGCAATTTTGTAATCATAGCCACCTCATCTGCAGTGAATGCTAGCTCATGCCCTTTGATGATGAAGCATTGCTTTGACATATCCCATGATGATAGCATCATGTATAGGAGGGAGATATTCTGCTGGAATGCATGGATCTCCAGGAATTAATAGAAGTGTAATTCCTTCAATTTGTCTCTGCAATCCTTGTCAAAAGTTTGAATCAAAGAGTCGTAGATAAGTTTAAAGGTTGATGTTCTGCAACGAGAAGTGATCTTTGGAACATACATCTATAAAATATTCAGCGATATACAACAATACCCATTGACTTAACAGAGAAATAATAGCATTTCCCATAAAATTTCTCAAATACAGTTGTGAAAAAGTTTAAAAGGTTTTTCAAATGAAGAAATATAGCAATGTTTGGTTGTCATAAGCTTGTATCATGAAAATACACAATAATACACAGTGACTTAGAAAGACAAAATAGCATTTCTCATATAATTTTTTAAATACACAGCTGTGAAAATGCTTAAAAAGTTTTCAAATGAATAATCACAACAATGACTGGTTGTCACATATCTTGTATCATAGCAATACTTGGCAATATATAGTAATACACAATAATACGCAAATCAGTATACAATGATACATAGCAGTACACAGCTCAGTACACAACAATACACAACTCAATTCACAGTAATACACAGCTCGGTACATAGTAATACATAGCATTACCAACAATTCATAGTTTAGTACACAACAATACACGGTAGTACATAGCTCAATACACAGTAATACACAATGACTTAAGAGAGAAAATAGCATTTCCCACACAATTTTTTAAATACACGGTTGTGAAAAAGCTTAAAAAGTTTTTAAAAGAACAATTACAACAATGTCTAGTTGCCATAAGCTTGTATCATAGAAATACTCAACAATACATAGTGACTTGAGGAGAGAAAAGATAGCATTTCCCACATAATTTTTCAAATACACAACTGTGATAGTGTTTAAAAAGTTTTCAAGTGAATAATTACAACAAAGTTTGCTTGCCAAATATCTTGTATGATAGAAATACTCAACAATACCTAGTGAATTCATAGAGAAATAATAGCATTTCCCACAAAATTTCTCAAATACACAGGTGTGAAAGAGCTTAAAATTTTTTCGAATGAGCAACTACAACAATGTCAGGTTGTCATAAGCTTGCATCATAGTAATACACAGCAATACATAATAATACCGAGCAATATCCATTAATACCTAGCTTCTATTAAGCAAAGATATATTTTATATAAATTCTATACCCTAAACCCCAACAACTCTTTTAGATAAATCATTTATAGAACAAATAGCTTTGGTATTTCAACATATCCAGTGATGTAGAGTTACTAGAGATAAATCTGACCTTAACTCCTGCTTAGAAGAAGAAGAGCGACTAAACTGAGAGCGGAAAGGAAGTCAATAAAAAATTTAAACTCTGAATGCCAACACTTTTGGTTTGCTGAAAGACGGTGAAAGATTCAGTGTCTGGATGTATTAATTTCTCGGCTAGAATACTTTATCCTTGTGTAAAGATGAAGAGCACCTGCCTCAACTGAGAGAATAGAGGAACCGAGGTGAAACATTCGAATCCTGCAACTTTTGGTTTGCACATATTTTAAAATTTCCACGAACTAGGTTTTTCACCTCTGGACCAGTGGATTGGGTCGGGTCGTTAGGCCACATATGCCAGCATTTTATTGGAGTCCGGACATAGAGCTATGTCCAGACTCTGCACAAAATAATTTCTCCCATCCCTCACACCATAACTGGCTTTTTTTTTTTTCAACTTGAAGAAAAAAATAAAATAAAAGGAAGATCTCACTAAACCCATCCTTTTGCCACTCATCTTTTGCAACTTAAGCCTACATTTGACCTCTCCCATCTCTACCCGGTCTCCCCCATCTCATTCACATTTCTCCCTCAAGCCCAGGTTCCCAACAGTAGGGGTGTCAATTTCGGGTCACAGATCGGGTTCGGGTCGAACTTGAAATTAACCCAGCACTATTCGGGTCAACCTGAACCTAACCCATTTTTGTAAACGAGTCAGCTTTTCGGACCCGAACTTAACTCGCTTCGGGTCAAGTCAACCTGACACAAGCCGAATGACCCGAGAAAATAAAAAATTGCTAAATTTTCGGTCAAAAAATGGTTCAATCACCGATTTTAGGATAAAAAACGGGTCAATTTCGGGTTTCCGGGTCAAAATTGGGGTTTTACGTAAAAAACGGGTAAAAAACAAGTCAATTTCGAATTTCTGGCTCAACCCGAACTCGATTTTTGAAATGGGTTGATTTGTTGAATCTGAAACCGACCAGTTTCAGGTCCAGGTTGTCCCTAACCTGAAATTTTCGGGCGTGTTCATGTCGGGTTTTTAGGTTGTGTCAAACATTGACACCCTTACCCAACAGCCCCGCATGCTCTCTTTTTCTATCTTCTCCTCTCTTAACCTCAAAAACCCATACCCGCACTCTCTCTCTCTCTTTGGCGCAACTCTTAGCCCGTCTACAGAACTTCATCCCTCTCACCTTCGTCCACTCCATTCTCCCTCGTCTCCCTCACTACTTGCTCCTAAATAGCTGACGTCGGGTGAAGAACCTCCAACGGCTATTTACTGGAGGTTCTGACTGGACTAAGGAGACTTGTTGCCCATGCACTCATCTTCCAATCCCATTGCACACTAAAGACAATCGATCTCCTCCAATCCCTTAACCACTTTTCACCTTCAACGAACTTCTCCAACACAGCGAAGCCACTGACCACTGTAAGTCACTTGTCATCAAGCTTCAACACCTCTTACCTGCAATAACTCCTAAGACTCAAACAATCATATCTTCAACTATGCTCATTCGCCAATCAACAGGAGCTCGCGTGCAAAAGTCCACTAGAGGTGTAACTGAGTCAAGCCGGCGAGCGGGCTTGAGTTCGACTCAATAACGAGCTTATAAGCCGAACTTATTGATCCGTGAGTTTAAGCTCGTTTATTAAACGAGTTTGATGAGGCTCAGCTCATGAGCTTACGAGCCCGGCTCAAGTGATCTTTGTCTCTGGTAGTGAAGACTCATGCAATCTCATGAGCTGCTCGCTAGCTCTTTTTTTTTCAATCATGAGCCAAGTTTGTGCTCGCCGTTTGAGCTCGACTCAAATTTGAGCTCATGATTTGGCTGATGACGCGAACTCGAGTTAGGCATGACTGGAGCTCGACTCGACTCGACTAATTTACACCGACAATTTTGACAACCAAAATTCTAGCAATCACCATCTTTCTCTCTCTCTCTCTCTCTCATTAAAAAAATTTGAAAAAAAAACAATGAAAACAGATAAAAAAACAGAAAGTAAAAAAAGAAATAAGAGAGACATTAAAAGAGAGAGAGAGAGATTTAAAGAAAAAAATTGTGTGGTTTTCATCTTCACTGCAAACTGTCTTCCTATTAATCGATCGTCTTGCACATAAGGCAGCTAGGGTTTGAAAGGGCCGCCCGCCCAAATCATCTCATAATCTTCAAGAGCTATGCAAAAATATTATTGTTAGTAAGCTGATAAAAAAAATTTAATTATTTTTTTTATTTTCTTACAAAATTTTATTTTATTTTTCACTTTTAGGCTAACAAAGCTAGGGTTTGAAAGGGCCGCCCGCCCAAATCATCTCATAATCTTCAAGAGCTATGCAAAAATATTATTGTTAGTAAGCTGATAAAAAAAATTTAATTATTTTTTTTATTTTCTTACAAAATTTTATTTTATTTTTCACTTTTAGGCTAACAATCTGAATTCTGTTGCAACTTCTTCAATTATATTTAAGGTATTTAATAAATTTAAATATATTCTTTTATTTTATATATAAATAGAATAAATTTTTCATGATATGAACTCATTTCATTTTTAAAAAATTTATGAAATTATTATATAATTTTTTTAATTGTGCTATTGTAATATAGTTTTAAATATTTATATTTAAAGTTTCAATCATATGAGAAAAATTAAAAGTTGCTCTAATAATTCTTATTTTTAGATTATTAATTCTAAATTCACACAAAATATTTCCTACTTAGCCTAAATAAATAGACTAATAAATGAGTACACTAAACTTAAAGCATCTTCCTCACTAATCATTACTAACACTTATAATAATTAATTTTAATTAACCTGCATACTATTATCATCATATTTTATCCCAATTAGCTTAATAAAATCCTAATCAATAATTAATATATTAATTAATTAACTAAAAGTGTAACTAACAATGTAAAACTAACTAGCTTTATCAAACCATATATAAACTTAATTAGCATACCATACCATTCTAGTCATGAATTAATATATATAATTACTTCAACTACTTAATACAAGATAAAATCCTACTAAAAATTAATTATTATATATCAAGCTTTTATCCCACTATATGGGTTGCCTATAATTTTTTTTTCTTTTTTGCCTTTATTTTTTTATCATTTGGGGCAACCTTCTTACTATTTAAAAAAAAAATTTACTCAATATTTATACTAAAAAACTACTTTACAAAATAATAAAAAAATTATAAATAATATATATGGCTGCAAATTTAGTTTCAAAGATGAAATCAAAAGAATGTCAGACAACTTTTTGACTTGGGATAAACAGATCAATTGAGCATCAAAACCTATTATAACAAGTGCACAACACCAACAAAGGCTTTTATTTTGAAATACAGTAAATCCATCAGTTACAGTATACTTCATTTACACATTTGTAAGATAACACAGTCAAGAAGTGAATTTTTCACATGGCATTTTATCTATTTGAACAGACGATACACACCAAGTGGTGAGATCACAAAATCAAAAAGATGATAGTAATATTGCGCAATATGAAGCTTTGGGTGATTGCAGCAACCAAAGGCCATACGAATGAAGATCATGAATAAGATACAAAGGTAATTCACACATAAATGCATGAACGAACAATTGTCGCAAACATCATCTGCTCTCATCCTAACAATCTTATCTACAACTTTGAATATTTGGCTACTCGCTTTCATAGTCCTCATCACCAAAAGAGAAGACGGAGGCATCTGCGGCGATGGCCTTGAACTCGCTTGTGCTAGTAGATTCCAACTCGGGGGCTCGAAATGGCGAGTTCTTATTCTCCTCTGTTCTTGCCTCTGGAGCTGGCATTGAAGCTTCCTTAGCTTTGAGGGAGACTTGTTCGATTCCATGGGTTATATTGTATAATTCACTTTTCGAAGATGGTTCTGTTGCAGATCCTTTAGTGGCGATAACATGGGCTGCTGCAGATACATTGGTGGCCGGAGACCGTTTGCTCTTCGTAGAACCTCCCTCTTCAGCCTCACTATCGGAAAATACATCAAGAGAGAGATGTTCCAGGTCCTAATTCATCATGCTCAATTAGGATCAACCTTTTTCCATGACACATCCCTTATGCGTTAATTTCTGACAGCAAACAATGGTTCTGGTAAGGCATGCGTGTTATTGCTATAGGCAGGGCATGTGGTTTTTGAGGTTATGTCCATTTTGGGCCATAATGAATAGCAGCAGAGATGAGATCTTCTCATATCCTCACTTTTTGGGAAATGATTAACACATGTTTCTAATCTAAAACCCTTTAGGTATTTTTTTATCTAAATCAAAGTGCCAACACAACTCTGGCATAATCCTCTTTCCCCACATTTAAATGATTTCCATCTAGATATAAAGGAACTCCTATCATAGATTGCAACTTCTAGAAATATTTTTGTTTCATCTCCCCCCAACAGGTGTACGGACATCAGGCATAGCGAATACGAAAGCAGGTGTTCGCTTCAAGACTTTGAGACCGTAGATTCAGGGGAGATATTGTAGGGTGGACCATTATCAGAGACCAATATGTTTGCTGCCAAGATAATACCAGATAGGCCGTCTCTTCCTATGGGATCTTTTCTTCACACGCTGTCGGCTTACGTAAAATGGAGGTCATAGGTTATCCAGATTAGGACTAAAAGTTGTGAGGATGGGAAATCCAAAATTTGGGACTGTTGCCTCCGAAGGTTCTCTTGGGCCGTAGAACAGGAAAAGGGATATTTTCTTGCCAATACTTTAATAACCAGTGGAATTTCTCAAAATATGGTAATTTGGGGAAGTTTTCACAGTTCTGAAATTCATCGATCACCGTAATACCATCATCGAAAAAGTAGGGGGTTGATTTTCGCAATATCATAAATTAAGGCTTTATATGCTGGGTCTTTTCATGCATTTAGGAAAGCTTTCCTGTAGGGACGCAGCATCATTGGTCATTTGCTGTATGCCCTCATAAATGTACTTCAATCGCATTTTTAGTCTGAACTACTCCCTTCTCGAGAATGATCCTGCACAACAAGTTCTTATCAGCATTCGCCGAGATTGGTACGAAAGACTTACAAGGTAATCCAGTGCAAAGGACAGAAGATTGCTTATCATCAGAATGTGATATATTGTGTAACTTCATCTGGTTTATCGCATTTATGCTGGCTGGCGCATAGTCCAAGAGATTTTCATTTAAAACACAAAAATTTATTAACAAAAATCTTCATTCTGAATGAAAGAAGCTTTCGAAACCATTTAGAAATTCTTAAATTCCGATGTTGCACTCGATTTCTGTAGTCGAGGAGTTTGTACAATTAGGGGCTAATCAAATGTTCTACTTACCTTTCACAACTTTATTGTTCTTCTTTAAGAGGTGAGTCGCTAAGTCGGTCTGATCAAGCAAAGGGTCTTCAGACATTTGTCACATGAGAATTGTTTGCTTCTGAACGCAGGAATGATTGGCGTACGATCTTCCCTAAAAGTCCATTTTGATCTGTCCAAATGCTAATTATGCACGGCTGACTAATGGTTGCGGCAATCCACCGTCATTGCCGAGGAGCCGGCGATGAGGGTTTCTGAAAATGTAAAATCAAATTGATTCTGGCAGTTTCTCTCGCATGTCTGTGTTTACTTAATAATGATGTATTAGACAATCATCCTATAGTGGGAAAAGCTTTCAATCATTTGCTAGTCAAGGATGAATTCAAATTTGATTTTTAAAGTTGAGATGAGTAATGGGATCATTTGTGGAAAACCAAAAAAGTTTGAGAGACATTTTTTATATCATTTCTTTATTTCAAGAGTAGCCTCCTGTTATTCCACTTTATCATTGAAAGACCGGTTTGTACTTAACTTCTTCTCACATAGTGGGTTTTCCCCCCCCTTTTTCCTTAATAGGCCCCCGGTACCAACTTTGCCATGTATCAACAGTTTTTTCCATGTTCTCTTGCCTCCACCAAATAACGTAAAAATAGAAAATTTGTTAAACCTCTGAAATAACTTCAGGGAATAAGCTCCACTCTTTATCTTTCAGAAGAATTATTCGTTTCTTGTTTTGAAACTCCTTATCACTAGGTTCTAGACTCACCTTTCTGCGTCAAACTATTCCAGAATCATCACAATTCTTCTCCCTGAATTCATTCCTTGTCCACTGGGCAAAAATTGTTTTTGGCTTGAATTGTCTGTCTATGAGCCAATCTTCTGTTCCATGAAAAAGCATTTTCCATATAGATTTTTTCTTTTTCCATTAGCTAACAAGAATCCAAGGTCCATAACCACTGACATTCACTACTGTTTGCAGGGGCTTCAGACAGTTTTTTTGTTATATCAGTAAACTGACACATGGATTCTTTACATAGCAGTGCACTCTCATCGAAACCTTTAAGTGTCATTATCATTAATCTTCTCAAGGACAATTGCTTTGGTCGATTGACTAATCTGCCCACAACTAAACAAATGTTGGGGAACTACTTTTTCGTATTCGTGATTTTGTGGAAAAAAAAAAATTTCAGATCTCCTTCAACCCACGCACGCAAGTGCGAAGAGGATTCTTCTAGGTGGATATTTACAGCAAATTTAGGCAAATTCATGGCTTCCCCCATGTGGAAATACAGAATTTTCATCTTTAAGAAATAAAGGTTTCGCAACCTTTTGAGGCAATCCTACAAACATTTATAGGATCCGCGCAACAATCGAAGAGGAAAATTTGGCCATTCTTAAACCATATAGGTGGCTAATCAAATGCCTTTCAATGAATTTGGAGAGAAATGATTGACTTCACTGTATCCACACCAATGAAATGTTCCCTTTTCACATACGATGGGCCGTTTAGCAAGAATCGATTCAACCTTCCACATTCTGCAAATAAACATAACTCCACCTTTACTGAAGGCAAGTTAAATTAAACTTATTTATCTTGATAGCCATTGCCGTTTTAAGTTCGGCGAAGTTGACAATGAAATATGGCGTAGTTCCTCCCCAAAAACTTTAATCCATAGTGCATTCTGTAAATGCTTTGGTTGTTCTCCGACAGCCGTTCTCCTATAACACTTGACTATCAATGCCATCTTTTATGAAAAGTTATTTCCAATCAACTGGAAATGCAGAAATTTCTTTATGGGATTTTTTGACAAACATTAGTGAAAGTATCATTCTTCAGTTGTGGTCTTTAAGTAGAAGGTATTTCCAGTTTAGTAACTTTCAGAAATAAACAGAAGGTTCCTCCTTAGTCTGTACACAAGCTGAGCCCCTATTCATGTGCTGCAACTTTCTGATAGGGCTTTCCCATTCCCCCAAATTGTTATTAACATTGAACATCTACTGACTGTATTTATTTGAATTATACGGTTTTTCAACATTCTTCAAGCGAATTTTACATTTTTATCTTGCCAGCTGGTTTTGTGTACAAAAAGTTGTGATATTAATTAATTTGAGTATTTTTAGAAATTTGTTATGACATCTTTCTTAAAAATTACCACCCCTTTCCCTTACCATCATCGATAAAAGGTTTTGAACATTCGTCAGGCCGCCTTCACATTAATCACCGAACGATTTGACAATCAAATGGATGAGAAACCTTGCTCCATTCTTCCAGTTTTAGAGAGAAATTTCTGAATTGGAATCTTAGGAACATCAGGGGGAGATTTGTTTTTCAAAAATCATTTTTCCATTTAAGCAGACGATCGACGATCTCCTTTAGGAACAACTGCCGGCATTTAAGCGCGATGAATCGCATTGCCGCGGCGCCATCAAGTGGTATACTTGTCGTCTGATCTGACAAAAGATTTTTGAAAATCAACTCTATCTCACTGAATCCCGAGCCATTCTCACTAGAATTGTCCGACTGCCAAAACATTTTGTTTTCAAATATTCGAACTTTTGAACAAAAGCTTTTACAAT